ATATGGGAGTGGATTCTATCAGCCCACAGGCTAACTGTCACAATATCAGCTAATGGGCCCAGATTCAGTCTGGGCTGATCTGACGGTTACAATCTCATTTTGTATTTGAATTTTTCAATGTTTTTTTACAAATCCAAATCACTTGAAATTTTAGGCATTCATTCTTCTCATAAAGGCAAACTTAATAAAAATGTATAAAAAAACAATTCGTAAAATATAAATTGATCAAAATACCCCCAAAATATTTTGAGCGTATCTTGATCAATTTATATTTTTTGAATTTTTTTTTTTATATTTTTATTAGAATTTTCTATTTTTGAAAAATAGACATTCGAAATTTCAAGTGATTTGGATTTGTAGAAAAACAAATGAAAATTCAAACACAAAAAGAGGATGTGACCGTTAGATCGGCTTTGATTGAATCTGGGCCATTGGCTAACACTGTAGCTATCAACCTGTAGGCTGATAGGATCTTTTCCATATATATATATATATATATATATACCATTACATTAAACCCGTTTTTCAATTTTTATTTATTTTCTATTTTTGTGGATTGCCAATTTTGACCGATTTGAATCGATCCGAAATACCAATCCAGTGATCCAACATAGATTTTTTAGGTGGGTAATATGGCCAGTGATCCCCATTTTGAAACACTCGCCTAAGGTTTGGAAATGCGTCCCTACTCTTCCATTACGCACCAATAAGTTTACATAAGGATACCTTTTGTGTCATTTTATTTCCACTTGATGTTATTTTTTTACAAAAATATGAGAAACACCCTTTTCCCGCGTCCGGTAATAAGAACGGTTCAAATTTGAAATTTGAGTTTTGTAATACTTAGATCTCACTTTCTAAAAGTTGTAGAGTCTCAATTAAATCTTAAGATAATAGTTTTTTTTTTTTCAAGTGGGTAGAGGACACAATTATAAATATTTTTTTATGGGTGCGGTTAGTATAGAGCCTGGGCTCTAAATAATCAAATTAGATCCTACCTTCAAATAGGGTCTTGAGAAATGTGGTTTTAATATTGGAAATATTTGTGATAGCGTTTAAATATATTTTCATATTTATTTATAAAGTTTAGAGTTTCAAAAATAGTGTCAGATCGACAGATCAATGAAAACTTGAAAATCTTGAAAATTGACGGTACAAATATGTGTTACAAAATATACTATTTCCAAGATTGATATTCATTTTTTTTTCTCATTTCCATGCATCTTGATGTCAAGATGATCAACTTGAAGATATTTGGGCATAAAAAAAATCCCTTCTAGTGAAATTTTTGAGGTAAGCTCAAATTTGATTGTTTACCGCCTCTATATAACTTTTCCCTTTACATGCCAAAAATTTGGGTTGTTTAAATTAATCTTAGGTGCAGTTTTACTTCAGGGAGTAAATAAATAGTATAGTCATAACGGAGTATAATATATTATGATAAGGCTGCAAACGGGTTTTGTTTTGCACTTGGGGTTTAAAAAAAAAGAAGCCTTGGGGAATCGTCCAGAAGGGGGACACAAAGCTGTTCAAGGTGCTTGTTGTTTTAATGACCAAATGAATTTATACTCCTTCGGGAATATATTATTCATTTTCTCCTCATGTAAAACATCCTGGGTAAATAACCTCTTCAACCATTAAATTAACGTTTATGAAAAAAAAAAAATCTTAATTGCACCCTCTACACATTTAAAAAAATAATCTAAAAAATCCTTCCAAGTAGGTCTTTTTGTTGAGGGAGTAAATTTATATGATATTCCCTGGGGACTATCAACCCTACTTTAATTTAACTACATGCCCAATGTTATTGTTCGATCGAAGGGCGACCAAAAAAAAATGATCTGGGAGAGGGAAGCTCCTCATAATTTTTGAAAAAAATAACATTTTTAATAAAACATATAAAAGGTGTCTATAAGGACAAAAAAACAAAAAAAAACTTACATATAATAAGTTGTTTTTGGTAGAAGATCACGAATCCACGAGGTTGTGACGACTCCGCATGGAACAAGGCGAATCACTAAACACCATTAATAGATTAAAAGATTTCTTATCTATTGTTACACCAAATAAAAAAGAATAAACAAAAGAAATTGAAGGATAGTTCTTCAATGTTGGTTGAAGTCAAAAATGGAGAGCAGGTGAAAGGCGCCTTGGAGTGTAGAGGTGAACAGCTCGTTCGTTGATGGGCTGCGTTGGCCTCGCGTTCGCCTCAGCTTCCTGTGTCACATGCCACACAATTATTACCATTTATTTAATGGACCCGGTTTCTATGTGGCCAAGCCGGTGCATGTAAAAATGTGGGCTTCTTAATAAATCTAGTTTTGATATGGATCGTAAGGCTTAATTTAAGGACCTGCCACACAATTATTACCATTTATTTAATGGACCCGGTTTTTATGTGGCCAAGCCGGTGCATGTAAAAATGTGGGCTTCTTAATAAATCTAGTTTTGATATGGATCGTAAGGCTTAATTTAAGGACCTGTAATCTTGACATGGAGCTCATGAAATATAAAAAAAAAAAAAAAAAAAACTTTAACTAAAAATAATAATTACTTGTAAAAAAACATTTAGGACCATTAGACCTATTTACAACCATCTTTAAAATAGATGCTTTACACTTTTTTGACGGCATATGTAGAAATACGGTCCAAGCCGCCTGAAATAATTTTCTTTGTTTAAAAGGCATCATACCAAAACATGTACTATTAGATACTAATAGAAAAATAAATGGAGCACTAAACTAAATAAATGATGCAATGATATATATATATATATATATATATATATGGTGCGGTTTGTATAGAGCCTAGGCTCTAAACAATCAAATTAGAGCCTACCTTCAAATAGTATCGAGAAATGTAGTTTCAATACTG